TTCAATCACTGGAAATAGTTCTTTTTTTTTTTTTTGTTCTGAATGCATTGAATGTTAGTTGCATTTTGTAATTTTATTTGAATTATTTGCCTGCAGAGGTATGTGCTTTGAATGCATCTAAGGTATTTGCAAAAGTATATATCCTGTTTTCTTTCTATTGATTTTCTTTTTATTTTTTTTCCGTTGTACTGACAGTGCATGCACTTAAAATAAACAGGCTACTTTAAAACAGAATTCCTTTGCTTCCTCACTATGTGCAGTCAGCTGCCATTTTTTGGAAAGAGGAGGGCAGGGAAGGAAACGGGGACAACGTTTCTCAAGCTATGGAGGAAAAAAGTGCATTAATGGGGCAGTAAATCACACCAATTAGAGCCCCTGTCCCTTTCCTCAGTGGGTTTTCTCTGGGTTCAGCTTGATCTTGAAGGGGTCTTGGTTGTCTTTGGGTTCTGAATCCTCCATGTCCCCATCCTCAACAAGCTCTTCCTCACCGTACAATTCTAGGGTGCCTTATTCTGGGTGTCACATGGTGTCTGCTGTCACTCACAGGTGTGATCCCCGCTCAGAATGGCATCTAGCTCTGCATAGTAGAGACAGGTGTGGCGGGACAAACATTTTTTAATTTTTTAATTTTTTTGCTGCTTAGGCAGCGGAGTTCAAAATGTAGGAAATGCCAAGTTGAGATCTCTACATGCACCGGGTGGCTTAATTATTTGTGCTGTGATAGCACCTAATCACAGCAGCAGGGAGTTGACTGACAGGAGTGTGTCTTCCCTTTCCTCTCCCCCCCCCCCTCCCTTTTATGCCTCTTGTTTAAGGAGCATGTGACAGTGTTAAGAGCAGGATAGAAGCAGTAGTGAGAATAGAACATATTGTGAACTGCAGTGTGTGTGTGTGAACGCACATGTGTATATGCACATTGGGCTGGTGCAGCTCCTTTCTATTGCACCTCTGATGTAGTGTAAAGCCAGTTTAATCAGCCTTTATGTCGGTGTGATCCTGTGGTTGTGCAGAGCTGACATGGCCTCTTACTCACTGGAGCTGATGTTACAGGGGAAAAGAGGGCATGGCAAGAGAAGTGTCTAGCTAGGTTGCCTATGTGCTACTCCTATCTTTGGTTACATTTTTGGACCCTGGTAGCTGTTGTAGCCTGGTATAAATTTAGAGAAGCCTGAGGACCGCTTTACCTTGCGACAAGAGGATCTGCCTGAAGGATTGGGAGTGCAAAGATGAACTTCAAGTCCCCTTTACAGCACCCCCCAGTGTGTGCTTTCTGCAGCTGGCTGTAGCCGAGGTTCTAATCTAATAGACATGTGGTTTTCCTATAGCATATAGTGGATGGCTTCCTTCCTTCAGTAAGTAAAGTCCATTCTTGGTCTAATCATGATGGGTGCATATCTTTGTCATCTATGCTGTTTTCTTTCACCCTCCGTGCTCTCTACAAACTTTATTTAATGAATGGTAGAGGCTTCCCCCAGCTCAGAAATAGGATTGCCATGATTTCATTAGGATGATGTCCTAAAAATATTAAGACTCTATTGAAAAGTAATTCAGTTACAGTCCTGTATCCCATTATATATGTAATGTAAACATTACTCTGCTTGAACGGCTACAAAAAAGTATTAATACGTTTTCTTTGTTCATGGGCACATGGATAGGAGGGGGTTTTTCAGCTCATGCTGGTGCTCTCTATGAGAGATACTCATAGCTGTCAGATTCCTCCTCTTTTACGTTACCTGATTTATTCCATACCATACCCTTGCAGTGAAATTCTGTATTTTGCTGTATAGAACATCTTAATTTTAAAATACTGTGTTCTTAAATCTTGCCTCAGTTGGAGAAATGCAGTAATAGTTTTTTCCCAGTAGAGGCTGGAGTTTCACTTAGAGAAAGGTCTGGTGAGACTTTTCTGAGGCCTGAAGAAGTGGGTTTTAAGTGCTGAATGCCTTATCCTTCAGAGGTCAGATTAGATGATCACAATGGTCCCTTCTTTGTAATCTATGGATCTGTCCTCACTGTCTGGGACATTTAGCATGTACTTAAACATGAACCTTACAGACATCATAACTTTTAGCATTTTTAGTCTTAATAAAGATTAAATAGTCCTTTCCTGCTGTAGGTACAATTTGAGAACCTCTGTCTTTCATTTCGCAGTTAGAGCTGGTTAGATACCCAGAGTAAAAATCATTTGATCAATCAATCAAGTTCTATTCAAAAGTGCATATATTCTACACCTCTTGGGTAACATCATGACGTACTAGTGCAACTTTCAAAGATTTCCCCATCTTTGCTCAGCGCTATAAAACCCTATTATTAATGCAAACATTGACAGCTATGAAGTGACAGTGGAGCATTATGTGGCTTTTGTTGGCTGTAGTGAACCAGACCAATCCTCTAATGTAGCATTCACCATATTTAACTGAAAATATGTGTCCCCTCCATATGAGCGTGCTAGGGTTCTGGTGGTTTGTTTCTGACCCTTGGCGTTATTTCATGAGAGGGGGTTTGTGATCAGGAAAATCCTACTAATGAAGTTCTGCAATGCAAGATAAATGGGAGTAATCTTCAGTGAGCTGTAGTTCAAACACTGGAGAAATGCCTTCAACAAGGACAACTGAAGGTAGAAAGCTTTCGTTTCAGTGTTGCCTCTCCCCTTGTAAGACACTAAAGACTAAAAATCTAATTGGTGATTTGAAGTAAGGAAGTTAGAATCCTGTTTTGTAAATCTCTGCTGTCCTAAAATGGTCTTATTCAGGATGGCTCAATGGAGGGTGCAGCACAATGCAAAAGCTTGCTGAACTCCCTCGACGTAGGCTGGACATATTTCTTTCATGGAGAAAGTACCTCTCAGGTACTCTGAGGCATCTTAGAAAGTATTAAAAAATTAAACACACACCTCCATTCTCTTGCTAACAATTATTAAATCATCTTTTAAAGGCTTCCACCTCCCTCCCCAACTTTCCCACTCCTCATCTTTTTCTTGTGGTGTGACTTCCTTAGGTCTGATCTATGCTAGCGATTTTAAAGACTTCCCACCATTGTTATTATGAGTGAAGCTTCACCAGTGGTAGATGGGGATCTTAACTATCATGCCATCTAAATCTGTTCAGAGCAATAGCAACAATGAAAAACTTTCTGGAAAAAGGCCAAAATAGACACAGGCCTGTAGGAGTGGGATCATTGATCTATAGCTTTAATAATGTCTTCTGTAAAAGAACTACTCCCTCTTGTGCACACATAATGGATGAGGGAGGTTGTTTAGCAAAACGTAATCCAACAAATATTTGAATGGTAGTCACAAGTTTCTTGTCTAACTAGAAGGTAGTTGAGAAATGAATGGTCAATATTTGATTTGTTGTGCAATCTCTAAAAGGTAGTAATGAACACTTTAGTGCGTAGCTTTTTCTCTAGTTTATCTGCTTCATAAACTTGTAATTTAATTTTCCATTCCCAAACTTGGGAAAACTCCTTTGATTTTAGTGGAGATGAAATGATCACAGCTCATGATTTACTTGTTCACAAACCAGCATATTCTGCCAGCACAGTCTGTCTATAGTACTTATATGGCCCCCACCACTGTAGTATTGGAGCATCTCACAACACCCCTGTGAGGTAAGGAAATGCCATTATCCCCATTTTTACAGATGGGGAACTGAGCCACAGAGAGTAAGTGGCTTGGCCAGGGTCACACAGGTTGTTTGTGTTGGAGCAGGAATGGAAAAGCCCTAGTATAGTTTCTTGTCTAACAGCTGCTCTATTGATGAGTCTGCAGAGATTTTCCTCTTTAAAAAATGCAATACTTTCTGCAGGATCTTTAAATTTTCATTTTAAAGAATTGTTTAGAATTCTGTTTTGTGCTGGTCTCCTGAAAAATGGGAAAGGGTCCTGAGAGGAGCTACGAGGATGTGTGGTCTGGAAAAACACTCTTTACAATGAGACTAAAAGAGTTCAGTCTCTTTAGTATATTGAAGAGAAGGCTGAGGAATGACTTAAGGTCTTAAACTACCTACACAGGGAGAAGATCACTGACACCAGAGGATTTGTTATTCTAGCAGGCACAAATGTTACAATATCCAGTGGCTGGAGGTTGAAGCTGGCAAAGTACAAATTGAAAATGAGACAAATTTTTAACGGTGAGGGCAGTTAACTACTGGAACAGCTTACAGATGTGGTAGATGCTCCATCACTTGGAGTCTTAATGTCAAGATTGGATGTCTGTCTTAATGAGATGTTCCGGCCCAGCCACAAGTTATTGGGCTATTGGAACTGCTGGGTGAAATTCTATGGGCTGTTATGTAGACGGTTGGACTAGATAATTGTGTTGGTTCTGGCCTTAAAATCTATGGTCTACACTTGCAGTTAAACAGTGTTCATTGCTGGTTTCGCAGCTGATCTTATTGTCAGAAATGGATAAGTTTTCTAGTATAGACTAGGGTTCAGGTCAGAGGGGACTAGATAGCTAGGACAGAAGTGCACCTGGAGGTCAACCTTTCAAACACAAAATTCAGTGGTGCGGGGAGGAAGCACATGTCTGAGTTGTCAGACAAGCCTAGATCCTAGAGAGGGGGTAAACTTGAACAGTAACTTGGAATTTGTGCACTGTTGTTATTTTCAGTAGCAGCTGAAGGTTCTGCTAATTCTTTAGACACATGTTTCAGAGGAACAGCCGTGTTAGTCTGTATTCGCAAAAAGAAAAGGAGTACTTGTGGCACCATAGAGACTAACCAATTTATTTGAGCATGAGCTTTCGTGAGCTACAGCTAACTTCATCGGATGCAAGTGAGCTGTAGCTCACGAAAGCTCATGCTCAAATAAATTGGTTAGTCTCTAAGGTGCCACAAGTCCTCCTTTTCTTTAGACACATGGTACGAGTAGCAGAGTAGCTGAAAACAGTATCCATTTGCTATCTCTTGAAAGTGGAATTATGTGAGAGAGAGAGAGAGAGAGAGGCAGCAAAGATTTGAGTAGAAAACACTTCCTGAATAAACCACTTCTCTTTGCAGAAAGAGGTTCAGAAGATATTGACATCCTTCCTGATGGTCTGGCTTTCATTAGCTCTGTAAGTACCTGGGCTCCTACCTCCCCACCCTATGCAGGTGCTTGAGTACTAATTTTTTCTGCACCGGAGTAACACCTGCAAATTGCAGGCTGAACATTTTTCTGTGCGCACTGCTTCCTGGGAGTAATGCAGACTTCAGTTAGCTCAAACTATATTTCTTCCTACTTGGGGAAGTTCATTTCTTAACCTTGCAGAGTTGTTGTGGCGATTGTTATACAACCTTTATCATTGGCACGTGTGATTTTACATTCTCCTGGTGCATTGCCAACCCAGAGTATTCAGCATTTGAGTCAGCCTCCCCAAATCAGGAGATAGACTTAAAAATCATGATTTCCCCCCCTTAAATTAACTTTTGGATTCTTTTTGCTTATTTCCTGGTTATTGAGCCCTTAGGGTTCACATATTCAAGCTTTTCTCCACAGCCATAAACGCTAGGAACTGTGTTTTGCTACGTGAATGCCGAGAGTTTCATTCATGTGATTCCAGCAGCTGTCACTATTGGAAAAACAACCAATATTGCAATACGTGTGATAGCATCCGTGTCGCCAACTCTCGCGATTTTGCCTAGAGGAACTGTACTAGGTATTAGGTAGTCTCCTTACCCATTCAGGTGCACTTAACTGTGGCCATATTTTGTTTACCCATATTTTGAAAACTTTTTGAACAGATAGCCTGGATCAGTTCAGAGATTCCCTGTATTACCTTGCATGGTAGTGATGTTCCAAAGCTGCAGTCATCTGAGCTGTCTGAAAGCAATGACGCTGTGTCCTGAAGAAATGTTAAAGTGGGGGAACATGGAACTGAGAGACAGGAGCCAAAAGGGGTAGAGACAGGATGGATACAGGCCCTTAGAAGTCACTTGAGGTGGGGGGAGAAGAATGGGGGGAGGGAGGCAGGAAAGCTGGGGGGAGAGGTGCTTGTTTTGAAAGGGACCAGCACAGAGTGGCTGGGTACATATTGCAAGTGGGGATCTGCAATGTTGGGGTCAGAAGCCCTGTGTGGGTATGCAGCATTGTCTTGGGATAACCAGCACAGGGAAGGTAGATGCCTGGCGGGGGGGGCAAGAAACAGGAGTGCTCAGACAGGGTCTGGGCAGAGCAGTAGTGGCTGGTGGCTATTGAGGAGAATTACCAGCACTGAATGAGGGTGCTGGAGCAGCACTGTGGATGCGGTGGCAGTTTGTGGGGCGGAGTATTCAGAAAAACAGTGGGGAAGGGATGTCTCTGGGATACAGCAAAATGAGGGAGCTTCTTTGTGGAAGGGTGTCGTAGCAGCAGGTGGATGTGGAGAGGCAGTAGCACTGTGAGAATATTTGGTGGTGGTGGGGGCATCAGCAGTATATGGTGCAGAGCATGCACAAATGTGGCTGGGTTGCAACATGAGGAGGATGCAGGCAGCATAGTGAGAGAGTTAAGGAGGGATCAGTTGATTAGGGAGAGCATGAAACAAAAAACAACAGGAAAGAGACGGGATTAGTACAGTTGTTGCTGTATCATGAGATGTATCCACAAACCAAAACAAAGAGTTAGTCTTGGCAGCTTTGTCAGGATCCTCTTAACTTTCTTGTTGTGTTTACTTAATCTTAAAGGGTTTAAAATATCCAGGGTTAAATAGCTTTGCTCCAGACAAGCCAGGTGAAATATTTCTGATGGATTTGAATGATGAAAAACCAAGAGCAATAGAACTGAGAATCAGCCGCGGGTTTGATCTGGCATCATTTAACCCTCATGGGATCAGCACGTACATAGACAAAGGTAAGAAGACTGTTAAATGGAGACAAGAAATCTCAACCTAGAGATTTATTATAATTATTTATTATAGGTAAAACCCTTTGCTATCCCTGTCACCCTCCATGTTTCACTATCAGTAACCTGATACATGGGTGGGAGAGAAAAGTCTGATCCAGCAGGTCTTCGTATATTAAATCAAAAGAGCTGGCTGTTTGAGATTGTACATGTGTTTATATAAACTGACACACTCTGTCGTCTTCAAGATATTCAATATACGGGGCATATTTCTATAACTATGGAGAATGTGGGAAATGTCTGTATTTTTATGCATATTATGTGTGACTCAGTTTGTCCACTCACTTTTGTATTTTGGCCTAGTCCTACTTGGTCTCAAGGGGTTAACTTTTTTCCAGACAGATACATCAGGAGTGAAGGAATAAGCGTTGAATGGAGTGGGCGTGGGTCACGTATTTATGTCTGGGCTGGCATGAATGAACTATAAACACATGGATAGAGCTACCTTGGAACTCCAGTGGGGAACAGCACCAGACCATTAATTTTTTTAATGACACCTGGTGTCTTGGAATATGGGTGGGTGATTACATATGTGACCACAAACTGAACACTGGGAAGGGCAGCACTCATGAAAACACCATCACTGGAACCTGAAACAAAGGACATAAGTGTTAAGGGGCTGGGAGAAGGAACTTGTTCTGCCTGTGGGAGAAGAGTATTCCAGTCTGGGACTGTTGCACAGCTGCAGGCATGCTGTCTGTCTTCCAGGCCAGGGCAAAGAGGGACCCTCCTAACCAAGAAAGGAAGAGCTGCCAGGTTAGGGGGGAGTTGTGTGTTTTAGCCTTTTCTTTACTATTTTAACAGGATGTCCCTGCACACTGGGTTCCTGAGGACTAATAAATGATGTCTTGTTTTAGAAAGGTTGTCTTGTGTCACTGCAAACACATTGGTTGTATAGCTCCCCAGAGGGGAAGCCTCCAAGAAGGGTTCAAGATCATTTGGACCTGCTGGAGGAGCTCCGGTGGGAAACGGGTGCTGAAGGCAGGGACCCAGTCTTTGAGCTGTGGGGCTCCCCCTTGATTAGAGGGGAGACCCATAAGATATCACTAAGGTCGCACTCCCAGAAAAACAGCAAAAGAGTTGGAGGCACAGCATGCCCTGTAATATCACCGCAGCAACCAGTTGCAGGTTTTGAATGCATGGGTGTTTAGTAAGGGGAGTAGGAGAAGACAACTCAGTGTATGGAAATATAATGCCTCCATCACTGTTCAGATTCTGCAGTTCTGGTGCTATGAGCCTTAACTGAAACTCTGTTGCCCGGCTATAGAGCCTGTGCACAATGAGCATTTCTCTTCTAGCTCACTGCACAGTAGTGACCACAAAGGGAGACTGGCTTGTGGCTGAAATGAAGCGCTGGTTCTGCAGCTTTTTGGTACTGAATGACTGATAGAGACGTGGCATCCTCTAAAGGCTCTTTCTGTCCGTAGAAGACCCTTCAGTCTATCAGCATCCCCCCCACCACCTCACAGGGGTGTTGAGTGTAAATACATCAAAAGGCACTTATATACTACAGCGTTAGAGGTAGATAACATACCAGACACAGACATTTAAGCTGCCGTGTCCTTTTTGTGAAACTCAACAATTTTTCCACATTCTTTCTTTAGATGACTCCGTGTACCTCTTCGTTGTGAATCATCCGGAATTCAAGAGCACAGTTGAGGTGTTTAAATTTGTAGAAGATGAAAACGCTCTTGTACACCTAAAAACTATCCGCCACGAACTTCTGTCGAGGTACTGCATCCAAATCACAGCACCTGTCTCCATTTGGCTAAAGGCTGTTTTTGTTAAAGCTCAATTTATATTCAAGGAAATGTAAACCCTAGAGGACCTTTCCATTTTATGTTTTCCTGCTGCTTTCATCAGTACTTCACGTCTGGATACTGCCAAGCTACTACGCTTCTCTCCCGTCTCCTTTGTACGTTAAGGCGTGGATCCACAAAGGGATGTGGGTGCTTAAAAGTCCAGGTTTAGGTGTCTGTCAGCTTTAGGCACCACGGCAACCCACAAACCCCTGCCTAACAGCACAGGCACTTACATTCACTTCACCCTACATTTTTGCTGTAAAAGTCCCTTAGTTTCTGCACCTGGGCATTTGGATGCCTAAGCCACTCTGATCGGGGGAAGATAGGTGGGGGGAACGCCTATCGTGCCTGCAAGACCCATTCCAGTAGGTGTGCTCAAAACACCCTTAACTCTATGCAAAACAAATGGGGGGTGGAAGAGACGGCAAACATCCCTTATAGCCTATTAGCCCAGTGGTTAGGGTTCCTACCTGAGATGTAGGAGACCCTAGTTCAAGAGGAGAAGGGATTTGAACAGGGTCTCCCACCTCTCAAGTGAGTGCACTGGGCAGCGTGATTTTTTACAGTGCCTTGGCCCTATCCGTATTTAATTAAAGTGGAACTGCTTCAACAGGAGAGATTGAGAGAGACCCACATTGGAAAGGTTTCAGAGTAACAGCCGTGTTAGTCTGTATTCGCAAAAAGAAAAGGAGTACTTGTGGCACCTTAGAGACTAACCAATTTATTTGAGCATAAGCTTTCCTGAGCTACAGCTCACTTCGTCAGACATTGCATCCGATGAAGTGAGCTGTAGCTCATGAAAGCTTATGCTCAGAGAAATTGGTTAGTCTCTAAGGTGCCTCAAGTACTCCTTTTTCTTTTTTCCACATTGGAAAGTCTCATAGTTCAGCAGCTATGGCCCTCACCTCAGAGGTGAGGCTGCGCTTTAACGTTGGTAGTGCAGACATACCCTAACTCAAGTTTTGTGTATTCCAGTGATTTTTTTCAAGGCTCCTATAAGCTAGGTGTTGCAATGCTAAGTCCCTTTGTGGATCTGGTCCTAAATGACTTCATTCCATATTTGGGAGTAAAATGTCACGAACCCTACCAAACACTGAACCAACCCTGACCAGTGTGCTCAGGATGATTATGTCCTGCTGTCTGGACTGGATCATGAATGTGGGGTCCGGCCACAGGGCAGACAGGAAATAGGGCACAAACACCACATTGGTTGTATGCTCTGTAATTAGATTTCACCAACCAAGTAACAAGTGTGAACTCCCCAGCCTTACCATGGAGTGACATACAGTCCCCTTGGGCTATCTTGTTGATCGGGCAAGCCTGCTTCAGTGATGGATGGTTCCTTCTACCAAAAATCACAACAATATTCAGATTGCTCCCATTCCGAGAGGACCAGTCATTTACCCTAAGTCAGTTGTACCCCACATCTCTCACCAAAGGCAACTCTTGTAGCGAGTCCTGTAATAAACTAACGAAAGATTTATTAACTAGGAAAAGGAAATAAGAGTTAAATACAAGGTTAAAGCAGGTAACTTACACGCACAAATGAGTTAGTCTTAGATGACAAAAGGTAATAGAAATTTCTATAATAAGCAAACTCCATATTTCCTTTAGGGCTAACTCAGGCAAAACAGCTGGGGGGGTCTTCTGTTTGTGCTTAGTGATTCTTGCCCCTTTAGAGTCCAAAGCAAAAAGAACCCTGTTTCTCCGTGGGGGAGAAGAGGGTGATGGGGAGAGAGAGGGTGAGGAGTGCAATTAACAAAGTCTTTGTTCTTTGTCTCACAATGGCTCATTTGGTTTAAAAGGCAGCCTGTAGGAAGCCAGTTTTTGCATTAGAGAAAGATTCTCTCCTGTTTGAGTTACAGAGGTTTACAATGCAAATGCTCAATATAACTTTATACCCTGGGTTACAGATGTTATAAGTGAGATCAGTAGATGCACATCTGACAAGCATTTCATCAGGTCTAAACACATTCTTAACAACTTAAGATCTAGGTCAGGGATTCTCAAACTGTGGTCGAGACCCCAAAGTGTGTTGTGACCCCATTTTAATGGAGCCACCAGGGCTGGCATTAGACTTGCTGGGGCCTAGGACTGAAGGTAGAAGCCCAAGCACCATCACCTGGGGGCAAAGCCCGAGCCCAACCACCTGGGGCCAAGCCAAAGGGCTTCAGCCCTGGGTGGCAGGACTCAGGTTACAGGCCCCCCACCTGGGGCTGAAGCCCTTGGACTTTGGCTTCCCCGCCCTAGGTAGTGGGGCTTGAGCTTTGGCTTTGCCCTTCCCCTCTGAGCTGGTGGGGCTCGGGTAGGCTCAAACTTTAATTTTTTTTCCCCCCTCCTGGGTTCATAAAGTAATTTTTGTTGTCAGAAGGGGGTTGCGGTGCAATGAAGTTTGAGAGTCCCTGATATAGGTTAAAATGCTAACACGCAGGTGAGCCAGACTGGTTTCTACCTATGCATTTGTCAGTGTTCAGTGAGGCCCAGGAGCCTTGGCATGAGCTAGCATCTGGTTTACGAGTGCCTCAGATACCAATTTAAGTTTGTTCAAAGCTGTATATGCACCTCTCTCTGTTCTCTATTGTAATCCAGTTTCATACATAATTATAATTTTCACTACATGAACACTAATTCTCAAACCTCTGTAAAATTTGTTCACTCCATTTTTCTTATTTCAGCTTGAATGATGTTGTGGCTCTGGGACCTGATCACTTCTACGCTACTAATGACCACTATTTCTCTGACTCCATCTTGATGTACCTGGAGATGTTCTTGGGCTTGACCTGGTCAAATGTTGTCTACTACAGTCCAACAGAAGTTAAAGAGGTAGCCTCTGGGTTTTACTCAGCCAATGGAATTAACATTTCACCAGACAAAAAGTAAGTCTCTTTTGGTCTCCTTATACATTTAATGGACCAAATGATGAAAAGAAACTCAGACAATATTCCTGAATTTTACATGCAAATATTTGCATGTGCAGATTGTGTGGTTAGTCTTCTAAATTGACTTGTGGGTGTACATTTGGTTAGTTGACTGGGTGCTCTTTGTAAAATATGGTTGTAATAAGTAATCTGAAGTGATTATATAACTTTTATATAATTTTATTCAACTATTGGTGGTATTTTATCCAATAATATCAAAGAAATTACATTTTAACCAACCTGATACTTGCATTTTTTTAAATGCTTGCAAGAATTAATGGATAATACTCCTCCTAAAATTGTAATAAGGGCAACTGTTCGTTTAACTTGTACAGACTACCACAGCCTGGGAGCCTGTTTCAGAGTGTAAACCATTTGTACAATTTGTGACTGGTATTTTTACAAAATATGTATTTGTGACACTATTGATCGGAGTCCTGGTTGTTACATTAAAAACACCTTGGAACACCAAGTACTTTAGCCATCTGTCTTGAGTTCAGTGTGTGGACAGCTTGGGATTCTTATAAGCATTTCAGAATATCAGTTTAAAGCTTCTAAAAATCAATGCTTACAAATAAAGAATCAATTTACTTTTACTTTTATCTCTGTGTAGACACCTTGTTAATAGACTCTTTCGTTTTGAAGGTATGTTTATGTTGCTGACCTGCTGGCTCATAGTATCCATGTTATGGAAAAACATGCTAACTGGAGTCTAACTCAATTGAAGGTAAGCGGTTTGCCACTTAGAACAAGAGCCTAATCCATGTTTGAAATGTAGTGTATACCCTTTAGGGAACCTAGATCTCTCAATCATAGCCTGATTATGGGTAGAGAATGTGTTAATATACATGCAAACAAAACTGCTGGGGGGCTGTGGTTGGCTCTTGTGGTACTGAGGGGAGAGGTATTCCTGTGGAATTTCATGTGAGCCATTATTATTGTTCACTGCAGCCTAATACCAGCAACCCTAAAATGAACCTTGAGTTTGGCCCTGATCACGTTCTCCTTCGAGGCGTTATCGACCTGTTGATGCAGTTAGTGCTCATTCATTAATGCAGCCTGCAAACAGAAAGCAGCTTTCAGAGCAGCAAGTAGTATCTGACTGGGAAACAGAGGGCAATTTACAGAACATAAATATTCCAATTTTCCTGCCTGGGGATTTGGACATCTCCCTTTTTATGTCAATGGGAGTTACTTCCCTCCTGCCTAGAGATAATTGGTCCCCATAGCATATAAGGCAGGTGTTATGAGATGGTGGTAACACACCTGATATGCTAGGGTAATTATGGCTTGTGGTTGCTGTGGGCCTGTGGAACAGGCTGTAACATGTTTCACACATCTGTATTAGCTGAGGGGCTCCTGTTGTTGGTATTTCTGTAAATTGCCCCAAATGGTTTGGTTACTGTTCCCTGTATAATAATGGGATCTGGGGGTTAACACACAAACTGGGTAAAATTTCAGATCATGAAATAAATGCCTGTAGAGTGAATTAACAGGCGACTGTTCCAGCTAGGAACTCGGATGTTCTGATTTGGGAACCAATTCACCTAGCTATTTCTAATGCCAGCTTTTTAATGTCTCTTCAGCCACTCATGTCTCTTTCCCTCCCCCACACCTTCACAAAGGATCATAGAACCATAGAAACATAAGGCTGGAAGGGACCTCAAGAGATCATATAGTCTACCCTGCTCAGGCAGGATTAACTCTAACTCTTCCATATTTTCAATTTACTTTCCTTTCCATGGATTTCTTACTCAGACCTCAGATTCTGGAATTGGTTCTGCTGCGTCCTGGTCCCCAGCATAAACCAGAGCAACCTCAGGGCTGCTCTGAAATACCAAGACTGTCAACACTCTTCCAAGGCCATTCCAGCAGCTGGGCATCAGCAGATGTAGAGATGTTCCATTCGCATTCCCTATACCAGGCGCTGAGTTGATGGTTTAGTAGCTGCTGCTATAGGATTTTCCCCGATGGTGGGGAAATTCTCAAGGGGCTGATTACACCAGCTTTAAGGCTGCTTTAAGCCACTGGAGCAGCACAACCCAGCCACAGAGGAGAAAGGATCTGGCCCACTATGCAGATGATCTATTTTTAATATTAAATATTTGTACATGATGCCACTGGCATGCATGTCATTGTACGTAGATATTCAAAGACATTGCCCTGCCCTGAGGAATTTATAAGGAAGAGGCCTTTGTTTGGGTAGTTACCTGGAAATGGGAACATCTGCAGTTACATTGGATAAGATTATTTATGAATAAAAGTTTTGGAAAGGATAGAAACCCCTCTGGACAAGTTTTTTCCATAATTGCCCAATTTCGACTTCTTACACTGGGGTTTCGCACTGAAGCATCAGGTGCCTGGCCACTGTTGGTGACAGGATATTGAACAAGAAGAACCATGGGTATGACCCAGTGTGGTAGCTGATAGCATCCCAGCAGATAACTTTCCCAAGGACAGCTTTCCTTTCCACCTGATCTGTGTCTTCTCCTTGCTGGCCCCAAGAGTCAGTCTCCTCTTTTCTTTTTGTTCCATTTTAATTCAGGTTGTCAGTCCTAGCTGGGAGGGACACTGCCAACTTTCATGCCTGTAACTTCCATGCCTATAATTCACCATGCACACCTATATAAAAACATAAGGCTTGAAGGTGACTAGGGCTAATAATATGCCCCTTCCTTCAGCTCTAGAAGCTGGGAATGAGTTGCTGAAGCAAATATGTAAGTATTTATAATGTCCTCATCACCGTCGTATCTGGGCAGTACAGCAGATGGTGCATGTTGACAAAAGGTGTAGGGAGGGGAAAATCTTATGGTGGTTTCAGTCCAAATTTTTAAGTGTTACTGAAAGGCATAAATACCTTTGAGAAATATGCTGATTATGAATGAATAAAGAGAGGCTATAAATGAAGTTTGTGACTTCGACGTGTGTGTCACTGTGTTGGGTTCTCCCGTGTTTGATAGGTGCTGGAATTGGACACACTAGTCGATAACTTATCTGTTGATCCTTACACTGGGGATATTTGGGGAGGATGTCATCCCAATGGCATGAAGCTGCTCTTCTATGATCCTGAGAATCTTCCTGGTTCTGAGGTTAGTTTGACAGATTCTTTTGGTAAATTAGACCGTGTCTATACTGTAAAACTATATTGTTTTAACTAGAACAATATAACTAAAGTGGTACAACTGCGCCCTCTTCCCTCGCGTGCCCCCCCCCCCCGGTGTGTGGAAGTGTGGATGCAGTTATACAAGTATGAAAGTGTTTATACTGGTACAGATTATTCCGTTACGGGAAGGAGAATAAAATATTCTGGTGTAAGGTACCTTTATACTGGTATGACTGTGTCCACACTTGGGGTTGTACTAGAATAATTATTTCCATTAAAACAAACACATTTACCCCCCCCCCCGACTCCATATTCCTAACCAAAATAGCTATACTAATACAAAATCTGTGTGTAGACAAGACATTGGAGTGTCTCTTCTAAAACAAAACAGAAGAACAATGCAGAGCTTTAAAGCAATACTTCAGTCTGGTTTTTATGGAATAGTGCTATCAGGCAGAAAAATCTGCCATTGACGCTAATCTCTGTAGCATTTAATGGCGCTGAAGGAGAGAAACATTTCAGTTCTATCATATGGTATCTTTAGCCATAACCTCAAGGCACTGGTTATTGTGGATTATGTGAATCCAAGTTTTTTTGTTAACATTCCTGAATAAAACTAAATGCATCGGAATCAGGAAATAAGTTAAGCAGAAAGGCCCCTTTGGAAATCTCAGCTGGAGTTAAGCAACTGGCTTCCACTGACTTTCAATGGGAGTCATGGGTGTAACTCATTTAGGTCCCTTAGAAAATCCTAGCTGATATCCCTGATTCACCATTGCGTTACTCTGGACCGAGGCTCGAGTAACTGCACTGATATCTGAGGAGCTATGGTGACATTAACTGGAGTAGCGGTTAATCAGGCTCTGATAGTTCTTGAGAATGGGCACTACTCCAGTAGGTCACCTGAGAGAGCATGCTCCCTCTGGAGTGTAGACTTGCCAAAGCTGTGGTCCTTCTCGCTGCCTTCCCAGCAACATACAAGCAACAAGCCATGCCTTGACTTGCTAAAACACTTAGATACCAAGATGACAGAGATTTAAAGAGCTATCAATATGGAGTTCATCAGATAGTGATAAAACTTACCCAGTGGATGGCAGCTTACAGGACAGAGCAGTGTGTCTGATCTGCCCAGTGCCCCTGCCTTATTGTGGCTACACTCCCACTTTCCCAACAAGTTATGTTCGACGTGCTGCACAGCTGTTACCTCTCAGCCTCCCTCACTAAAACAATCCCTCCAGCTGCTTGGACCTTGATCCTAAATCCGAGCTGACTTCACCCTGGATTCTGTGAACCACGAAGCAGAAAGTGCTTCTTCAGGTAGGGTGGTGGAAGGGCAGGACATATGTACAGTGAAGAAGATTGGGAAGGTGTGGGCTGCGGTCAGAAATAACTTAAAGTAGATGGGTCTGGAAAAAGTCACAGCCCGCTTTGCTTTTTTGACCTGCAAGATGGCAACTACCAAGAGAGCACAGCTTACAGCCATGGAAAAGGTGATACATGGATGGGTAGGGTGGGATTTCCAAAAGCACTAAATTGAGGTAGGGAGCTCAAGTCCCATGGACTGACTTGTGCTTCTGTGTCATTTCAGTACTTTTGGAAAATTCCACCCCTTAGCTAACATTTCATATTAAAAGGAATTACCCATGCATAACCTTTCAGCCTCCATTTCCCTCCTAACTAGTGGCTAGACTCCAAATGTACTTTAAGAGCTTGAACTCAGACCATTGTGAGCCTTGCCAGATAACATCTCTTAAAATGTCTCCGTAACCACCAGAAAAAATCTCCATCTGATCGTTCAATCAATTCCAGGCTGCTTTCTCTGCAGCTGCAGTCTAATTAAATGTTGATGGACTACATGTTTGGTGCTAGCTCAGTTTAATTGTATTCGTAAAAGAAATATTGCCGGACAATAGAGCAAGGCTAAATTTGTCCTTGTTCTTTCTCATTTACCCTTTAGATTTTATAATGGCTACTAGTGAGCTGCTTTCTGCAATCCTTGCTCTTGTGTGATTTCAGTGAGAATATACAGTTAAAATACCAACGGGAATACTTGAACAGTATGATGCTACTCAGTGTGAATAAGAGTGGCTGAATCTGGTCCTGTGGGTTTAAACCTTTTTAAAATTTGACAGATTGGAAAGGTTCAGAAAAGCACACCAAAAAGTCCTATCTATTTAGTTTAACAAAGAGATGGTTAAGAGGTGACTTGATCATGGTCTAAAAGTACCTAAAAAAGGACGAGTATTTCTGAATTAGGGTTTTTTTTAATCTAGCAGACGAAGGTATTGAGCTGAAGCTAGACAAATACAGACTAAAAACGATGTGCACATTTTTAATAGTAAGTTTAAGTAGCTGTAGGAACAACTCACCTTGGGATGTGGTGGATTCTCCGTCACTTGAAGTCTTTTTTTTAAATCAAGACTGGAGAGCTTTCTGAACAGTCTGCTCTAGTTGTGAGCTTAATGCAGCAATCATTTGGTGAAATTCTATGACCTGTGTTATGCGGGAGCACAGATCTTAAGGTCAGAAGGGACCATTACGATGATCTAGCGTAAATTAATATGTCCTGTCTGTGCTGAACTCTGAACATCAGCGACTATAAAAGTAGGACACCTTCTGTATTGACTGCCTGTAACTCTTCCCTCTTCAGGTAATCCGGATCCAGAACATTGTTTCTGCAAAACCTACCGTGACCCAGGTGTATGCTGAGAATGGCTCAGTGCTTGAGGGAAGTTCAGTTGCTGCAGTGCATTCTGGGAAACTGCTCATAGGCACGGTGTTCCACAGAGCTCTTTACTGCGAACTATAGTTCACTCTGGATAGACTTTGTTAGGGGGGAGGGTTCAGTTTCTTTTAAATTGCTAATTCCAAGCTACATTGCCATAAGTCATGAAAATGTATTCCTCGCCTCAAGGAAATAACATAAGTTCTGTTCAGTAGTGAATGGAAATGGATTTAAAGATAAAAGAATGTGTGTAGGATTAATGTGGAAGATCCCAGGCCAATAACAAAGTGTGGACGTAAATTTACAAATTCAACATTAAAAGAAAATAGCTGAAAATGAGTTGGTTCTTGGGTTACCAAGTGGGATCAGACTTCAGGGTTCTGTTTCTCTGGGAGAGTTGATGATCTGCCGAGTGTGTAAAAGAGTGGAGGCAGTGTTGAATAAACATGTCATTTCGTGGTTTGGGTCACTAACCCAAGTACTTTGGGGGGGGCTCCTTTTCACCCCTCTGCCAATTTTCCCTATGCTGTCAGAAATCATTTGAAACCCATGTGTTGCCTTATCATGAACCTGTTCTCAGACATACTCTTGCCTGCATTGAGAGTATTAGGTGTATGATTTAAATAACCCTTCAAGGAATGAGTTCAAAAATCTCTACTTTCTGAAGAGATCTGAAATGCCTTAACCAAACAGTGCCTTGGAGCCTGCGGTCTCCGCATACAGCCAGGGGAGCAGTGGTGAAAACTGCACCTCAGGGAAGGCCTTTAGCACAGAGAATGCAGTTTGTGCAGTATATGTTTAATTACCATGCTGTGTGAAACTGCCACTCACGCCAAAGGATTCTACCAAACAAACTATTATAATGCTGTTTGCTTAGAATGACATAGTCCACTCTGTGTAATCATTGTATTTGTGAGGCTCGTATGACCTTTGTCTGCTAGCCAATATGCTACTCCACCTCCTCTAGGCTAAAGCATTCTGCTAATGTTTCTCTGGCAAGAAGAGAGGCAGTATGGTTTTGGAGAGTGAACTCTGGGACAGCTGTGTTGCTAGGGACAGGTTACTTAACCACTGTCTTGCCCTTTCTTCAGCTGTAGAGTGGGGGAGAGAGATGTCAAGGGCACAGAACAGTTATGAGGAATGACTGAAAATGTGAAAGCAGCATCACCTCAGTGCTAGCTGCCTGATCTGCAGTGGGGGAACGCTGTACTGTATCAGGAGCAAGTATCTAGGCAACCTGTCCTGAAGCTCTCTACCCATGGCTGGATGAGGATGGGTGGAGGGACTAGTAATATTCTAAACCAGGGGTAGGCAACCTATGGCACACAAGCTGATGTTCAGTGGCACTCTCACTGCCCGGGTCCTGGCCCCCGGTCCAGGGGGGAGGGGGCTCTGCATTTTAATTTAATTTTAAATGAGGTTCTTAAACATTTTAAAACCCTTATTTACTTTACATACAACAATAGTTTAGTTATCTATTATAGACTTAGAGAGACCTTCCAAAAACGTTAACATGGATTACTGGCACGTGAAACCTTAAATCAGTGAATAAATGAAGACTTGGCCCACCACTTCTGAAAGGTGGCCGACCCCTGTTCTAAACCATGAGAGCAAAATGTCAGCCTCCGAGGTAGAATTCTAGCCTAGGGTTAAAAAGGCCTGATGTATTATCAGCCAGAGAATAGAGAGAGCTGCTCTTGGTTCCCTTCCCTATTGCTACCCCTGCCTCCATGTTCAGGTTAGACTCTGCTCGCTCCAGATCCTCTCTGTGATGTCTGAGCCACTTTTCCAGACACGTCTAGTGTCAGTGCTGCTAATGGGGAGAGAGCATTGGGCAAAGTGAGCCACTCGGGTGTGGATGCTACCAGTGAGTTAGAATCATAGAATATAAGGGTTGGAAGGGACCCCAGAAGGTCATCTAGTCCAACCCCCTGCTCAAAGCAGGACCAATTCCCAGTTAAATCATCCCAGCCAGGGCTTTGTCAAGCCTGACCTTAAAAACCTCTAAGGAAGGAGATTCTACCACCTCCCTAGGTAACGCATTCCAGTGTTTCACCACCCTCATAGTGAAAAAGTTTTTCCTAATATCCAATCTAAACCTCCCCCACTGTAACTTGAGACCATTACTCCTCGTTCTGTCATCTGATACCATTGAGAACTGTCTAGAGCCATCCTCTTTGGAACCCCCTTTCAGGTAGTTGAAAACAGCTATCAAATCCCCCCTCATTCGTCTCTTCTGCAGGCTAAACAATCCCAGCTCCCTCAGCCTCTCCTCATAACTCATATGTTCCAGACCCCTAATCATTTTTGTTGCCCTTCGCTGGACTCTCTCCAATTTATCCACATCCTTCTTGAAGTGTGGGGCCCAAAACTGGACACAGTACTCCAGATGAGGCCTCACCAATGTCGAATAGAGGGGAACGATCACGTCCCTCGATCTGCTCGCTTTGCCCCTACTTATACATCCCAAAATGCCATTGGCCTTCTTGGCAACAAGGGCACACTGCTGACTCATATCCAGCTTCTCGTCCACTGTCACCCCTAGGTCCTTTTCCGCAGAACTGCTGCCTAGCCATTCGGTCCCTAGTCTGTAGCTGTGCATTGGGTTCTTCCGTCCTAAGTGCAGGACCCTGCACTTATCCTTATTGAACCTCATCAGATTTCTTTGGCCCAATCCTCCAATTTGTCTAGGTCCTTCTGTATCCTATCCCTCCCCTCCAGTGTATCTACCACTCCTCCCAGTTTAGTATCATCCGCAAATTTGCTGAGAGTGCAATCCACACCATCCTCCAGATCATTTATGAAGATATTGAACAAAACCGGCCCCAGGACCGACCCTTGGGGCACTCCACTTGATACCGGCTGCCAACTAGACATGGAGCCATTGATCACTACCCGTTGAGCCCGACAATCTAGCCAGCTTTCTACCCACCTTGTAGTGCATTCATCCAGCCCATACTTCCTTAACTTGCTGACAAGAATACTGTGGGGAGTGTCAAAGCTTTGCTAAAGTCAAGAAACAATACATCCATTGCTTTCCCTTCATCCACAGAACCAGTAATCTCATCATAGAAGGCGATTAGATTAGTCAGGCATGACCTTCCCTTGGTGAATCCATGCTGGCTGTTCCTGATCACTTTCCTCTCATGCAAGTGCTTCAGGATTGATTCTTTGAGGACCTGCTCCATGATTTTTCCAGGGACTGAAGTGAGGCTGACTGGCCTGTAGTTCCCGGATCCTCCTTCTTCCCTTTTTTAAAGATTGGCACTACTTAGCCTTTTCCAGTCATCCGGGACTTCCCGGTTCGCCACGGTTTTCAAAGATAATGGCAATGGCTCTGAATCACGCCCAGTTCCTTCGCACTCTCGGTGCAACTGTCCGGCCCCTGGACTTGTGCGTCCAGCTTTTCTAAATGTCCCTAACCACCTCTATCTCCACAGAGGGCTGGCCATCTCTTCCCATTTGTGATGCAGGTGGCTGGGGGACCTTGTTAGTGAAAACGAGGAAAAAAAGCATGAGTAATTAGCTTTTTCCACATCCTCTGTCACTAGTTTGCCTCCCTCATTCAGTAAGGGGCCCACACATTCCTTGGCTTTCTTCTTGTTGCCAACATACCGGAAGTTACAAGGGGATAAAACAATTTTTTTTAAAATTTCCTGTACCATTACTAGGCTAGGTTGTTGTGACTTGCCGATCTAAGGAAGCTTTTAATTTCTGCACTACTAGATTACTTTCTAATCACAGCACAGTTTTTGGCAGCAGCAACTCCAGTCAGATGGAGAATGCATTGTTTTTACAGAAACACCTTAGGGCCTGCTGGGGTCTGGCTCAAGGGGAATACAAAGCAACTGTATGGCCCCTCACTGGCTACTCTAGGGGTCATGCGAGCATGTGCAGAATCAGTTCTGCACCCTTTCTCCACCGGTGGGCCCAAGCTCTAGTGGGGGTGGGGAGAGGCATGGCCAAGGCATTCCTGTGACCTGGCTATTTGCTCACTGCTGTAACAGCCCAATGGCTCATGGGAACCAGAGCACAGGTTAGGGCTGCCCCACCTCAACCACCCATGGAAGCTAACTAGAAGCCACATGTGCTTTCCTCAGAGCAGTGAAGAGCCTGGGTCTGGAACAGAGTGGAGGTGCCTTACATCTGGTGCAAACTGCATGTGCTCTGAGGAACTCTGCATCAGTACCAGCATGAACCTAACCCCCAAATCCCAGAGAATGCACTGTGTGCTCCTTTGCCTTTATTTTAGGGGGAACAAACTGGCTCCCCCAGAAGCTTCTCTCCCTGCAGCATTTGTTTAATATGAACAGCAGGGAAAGCACAGCTTCCTCCTCCCCAACTTTTTCCAAACAACAAACTGGGCCCTTTTGGGGGAAGTACTAATAGAAAGTCATGTCTTCAAATATACTTCGTTCTGGAATATGCTCTAGTCTTGTGGTTAATTACTGTGTAAACAAAATTCTTATAAGGAAAAACATCACCTGAAATAAATAAAATGTTGATCTTTACAGTATTATGTTTCTGATGAGCAATTTATTGATTTTTTTAATTTGAAATTGTGGCATCATAATACTCAGTGGCTCATTATCAACAACATTTAGCTTTACTACTCCCTGTGCTTTTCCTAATTCATTAATTGATGTACAGTGTCTAAAATGTAGTTGATTGTAAACCTGGTAACCATGAATGTTCTCATCTTTATTAAAAGAAATTACACCACAGAGTTCTTATACAAAATCTGATCCATCTTTAGATTTTACCTTCTTCAAATGAATGTAAAATGATTTGGAATCGTCGTTTTGTCCATTATCCTAATTTTTGGTCCTGGGTAAAATAAAGCCTGTATTGATCCTGGTTTTTATTTTAATTGTAGCTGTGTCTCTTCCTCACGGCTGTGGTATGTATGTTCTGCTGTCAGTCATGAATTCTAAGACGTAACAATGGAATGGGGAAAAATTAAATGAATAGCTACAGGCATTTATTTATATATATATATATAGTAGTATCTCACAGTACATTAAAAATCATGCAAACACATTATCTTATGCTTACAAAACTCTTTAGCCTCTGAGGAGCCATGTGTTGTCAGTACCGGGGCCTTATGCTGCTCTGGCCATCTCATCTGGTCTGTCTTTTGTATAGGCACAAGATACGTGTCTGTCTGAACCCTGTAGGGTCCCAGTCACTAACTGTTTGCCCTGCTGTGAGGGGCACAGGGTTCCCTGTAGCTCCTGAGTTTTCTAGGTTAATCACTGGCAGTTGTACACAGCACTACCTTCAATATAGGCCCTGGTAGTGCCGTCTCAAAAAACTTAGTATAGAGTGACCTTTAAACACAGCTTAATTATACAACAGAAACACAGACATTAAACACAACTCTACATGTAAAGTGATTTCTAGCAGAAATCTCTAGCAACAGGACCAAATGACTCAGCCACATTTCAAGCCCGACCTACCGACGGTTCAAGTCTGTTTTTTCTGCATGCCATTTTTCCAGTTTCACTACTTGGCTGTGGCCTGGGCACACAGTCCTCTTACTTGCCTTCTACCCACATGCATTTTCTGCAAAGAACTACAGCACATGAAACTACTTATGTAAAGCTATGGCTGCAATTTGACATACAGCTGCTAAAATACATGGAAGAGGAGGAAGACCAGCCTATGCTTGTAGACAGTAAAACACTTCTACACGCCACCTCCTCCCTTGGGAGACTGAGGTCAGAAATGCCAAGTGATATCTGTCTTTGATCCCCTTTTAAAGCCCCCCTACAGTCCAAGTGGTAGATTTGTGGAACATACAATTTTCAACATAGCATAAGGTACCACTCACCAAACAGGACCAGCAGGAAATACTGATGAAAACTACACAGCAGATAGGAGGCGAGCCATTGCAGGACTATGGAGTAAATTGTATAGAACCCATTTGTGG